TGTATCCTTCCTATAAGCTGTTTAGAGTTTTGATGGAAGTCATATTCAATATGTTTTATACAAAATCATATTGCTATTGTGAGAGAGCTATAGATACTTATTGTGGGAAATAAACTTCCCAGGGAACTGTACATGCATAGAAATACAAAGGAACTGGTAGCTTATGACTATAACCTTAGCATTTGTGTAGCTGGCACAAGGAGGACACGGGCAGAGAGGCCCTGTCTAAATAAATAGTTTAGAATGAGAAAAATTACATGAACTGGGCAGAAAGGCAGCCAAGTGATTCCATTTGGAATGGGAGTTATTAGGTCCTGGTTCATTAGGTCTGAACTGAGAGATCTGAGGCATGGTAGATTTTTCAGCAGGAATGTGGTCATCTGGGCACTTTGTAAAATTTTAACTTGAAAAGATTTTGAGTAAAATGGGTTTCTCAGAAAAATAATAAAAGTTTTAGAAAGTTGCTTCTTCATTACTCTGAGCTCAGTGTATGGTGTCTTGGCAGACTGTTGCAGAGTAAAATGAGAGAAGTGGAAGACATTAGTGGGACCACTGAGGAGGTGTTAAAAGTGAGATTTTATACTGGGATGATGGGGTATTGCTGATATCAATTCAAATATGTAGTAATAGAGTTGTAAGGAAAATGTTTCCTGAACATTTTTAATTTCAGTTAACAGTACTCAGTTATAAGTGGAAGAATGACAGGCTTAGTTCTGTTTTTCTTTTTGGCTATTAGTATAGGTACAACCTTCAAATGGGTTTAAGGAGCTATTGTTCCATTATTTAAACTAGTTAGCAGAGTAAACAGGACAGCACAGAGATATGAATGATTTCATGTAACTGGTGAGGTTGGCATGGTCTGATACCCCTGAGTGTAGTGCTCAGCGAAGTACTGTGATCTACCAGGATTCAGACTAATAGAAGATTGCTTCTGAGTTGAATTCTGACCATGCATATTAAAGGAGTTATTTGTATGTGTGTGAAGTAAAGACATGTGATATGAGCACTCACGTATTTTACCTATATGACATAACTGTGTTCTGCTCAGGACTCACTGTTTCTATCCACTTCAACTACTTTTGTATACTGTTGCATAGACTGTTTTAGCTACACTCCTCCTTGCTGTGACCCGATAACAGACAAGAAGCAACTTAAAGGAAAAGCACGTGGCTGTGCAGTGACACACTCACTGTAACATATCTTTGAGTGTGAAAATCACTTAATCCACATATGTGAGTTGGCTGACATGCAGTGTCATTCTTTTAATTTTTTATTATCATTTATTACAGTTTAGCAGTGTCATTCTTAATAGTTAAACGTAAAAAAGAATAAGGTATTTGCCTATCTTAGGAAAGGAAAGCATCTCATACATACAAAAGTATGTATGTTTTATGTTCATCTCCAAGACCATGGTGCTAGGCAGGTCCTGTGCAAACTCATCATCCAAAGTGCTAAAGCATTAGGATTTTATCTCAACACACTTGCCACAATATGCTCAGTGTGATTGTGTCAATGTCAGCTCCAGACACACCTCTAGGAGGTTGGTCTCTAAGCATGCCTGTGGATTCACCTGGATGAGGTAATGAAGGGAAAGTGGGTGATACCATTCGCTGGGCTTGGTTTTGGGGCTGTGTAAAAAGGAAACCTTAGCTGAGCGTTCTCCACACTCCGTTTCCTGGTTTTGGCTGCAGTGTGACCAGCTGCTTCAACTTCTTGCTGCCTTGACTTTCTGTCATGGTAGACTATGTGCTAAATAAACCCTTTCTCCAGCAACAACAGAAAGCTCAGATACTCAGTATTTGTGATTTGAAATGACTCAATCTTTTTTTTACAAATGGTAGCTATTCAGCTACATACCTTTACGGTATAATGTGATTGCCTCTATAGTGTCCAGAAGTTCTCCTTCATCTTGCTGCCAGCCATATAAGGGGATCTGTGTTGTGAGCACTGAAAAATAATTACCAAGGACAAAAACATCCTTAAGTAACCAAAATTGTTTTCTTCGGTGTCAGGCCAAAATGAAAGAGACTGCTTGTTGTAACTGCACTGGCCTAGAAGTAGGCCTGGCTCCTGGGAGCTGCACTTATGGGTGGGAGATGAAGAGGGCTGACAGCTGTGTGTCCAAACATCTGTGCTGACTCAGTCTCTGCCTCTTGACAGAGAGTGTTCTGGGAAGAGTGTCCTTAGATGATTTCCAGGACCTCACTACATGAGGGAACTGTGGTCTAAGGCTCTGCATTTGTGTTTTGTCTCCCAAAGCATAATACGAAGAAAGACTTGAAGTATTTGGGGGTTTGGACAAAAGTTTCCTCCTCTTCAAAACTCTTATTTTCATCATATTTTGCCAAGAATCTTGACATTTAATCTCCGTAAAAAAAAAAAAAAAAATCAAACCTAAAGCATAACTAACAAAATTCTGGAAAAATAACAAGTTTATAACATACTTTTAGTGATTAAAAGGCAGTATAGAAAACTCTTCTTTAAAAGCATACTAAATAGCATGTAGAAATTATTCAGATTTATCTCTGATTTTAGGTAATATATTGAAATTTATATGAAAACAACTTTTAAAACCAGATATTTACAGAATTTAACTTTAATCAGTTTTCTTCTAAAGTAGGGGATTTTGCTTTACTGTTCTGTGGTTACCATTCAATACAGAGGCATTCAAATGTGATTGTATGTTCAAAAACTTAACACATCTAAGCATTGTCTTTTGTTTCTCATTTTTGAGACAGAAAATAAGATTGGCCCAGTTTGCATCAGGTACCTTGCTCTACCCTCCATACCTTCTTCTCTGCCAGGAATGGCATGGTGTGACAGGACTAATACCAACACCATGGCCAAGGGTCAAACAAGAAAGAAGGAACGGGTACCTGTATGGACATGTCCGTCCCAGCACTTGACTAGAATAAATGTACATTGCCTTTGCTGCTGTGAAACAACTAAAAGTAAAGCTGTTCACAGTACAGAAGTGCTGGCTGAGAAACAGAGGTTCTCTCTGGCAGCTGATTCAGGCTTGCTGAAGAGAGAAGAGCACTTGGACTCCTAGCTGGTATTATAAATGTCACTTTTAAGGTGTCTTTACTGAAAACATTGCTTAAAATATTTCCAAGTATTTTTCAGGGTTCTTATTCTTAAATCCCCATTGTTTATGAAGATTACATTGAGAATATTGAATAATTATGTTTGAGAAACTAATACCAGCCAGGCAGTGGTGGTGCACACCTAAAGTTTAAGCGCATGCTACCTGTGCTTATAAATACTCTCCCCATTCTAGAATTCTCTCAACAGTTCCACTGGAATTTTAATGTGGTTTTATCTCTTATTTTTTCAGAACATATTTTATTTCTATTACTATTAATGTTAAATGTTTTATTTCTCCTACTACCTACCTGTTGTAGAAAGTGGGAGCTTGGGATCTGTCCTCTTTCCACCAATAAGGAGCTGGGGAAAGGAAGTAAAATAATTGGTGAGCCTACAGACTGAGTCTATCAACAACTATTGTTTTAACATGTTATTAGAATGTTTTTCCTCTGTGGTAAGAAGTTCAGAGTGAAACCGTAACTTACTTGGGTCATAACCTTTAAAAACGACCACTTTTCTTAAGCCCTTAAAGTGGAAGTTTGGGGAGAGGGCTCTATTGAACACATAAAAGCCTTTCATGGTAGTCATCAGTGATTACTCACAAACAGTGGAGGGGGCTGGAGCAATGGCTCATCAGTTGGGAGCACTGGCTACTTTCCAGAGAACTGTGGTTCAATTCCCAGCTCCCACATGTCAGCTCACAACTCTCTGGTCTGTAACTCAAATTCCAGTGAATCCAGCTCATTCACACAGTCATATATAAATGACAAACACCAAGAATACATTAAAAAAAAAAAAAAAAGGGAGTGGAAACATAACCTAATTTCTCAATAAGTAAAGGCACATTCACTTTCCCTGGAGCTTTTCCCCACAGTGGTGCCCAAATGCAAATCCAGTGTGCTGCTCTTTTACTTAAAATACTTAGACTTTCCTTACTAGCAGAATAAAGATCATTATCCTAACACAGGCACAGTATAACCTCTACCTCCCTTTTTATCTCAAGCTTAAAATATGATACACTGTCTTCCCATGCCCTTAATTGGACACAAGGTTTCCTGTTAGAACTACAAAAATCCCCTTTTCATCCCATCCTCCACCTTGTCACACCTCCATTCCATTCCTTTGTCTTAACTCTTACTCTTTTAACCTTGCCATCACTTCATCAGTGAAAACCCTCCCTGTCCTTCCAAATGGATATAATCCTTTGCAGCATCTCATACATCTTTTACAGTTTTCTGTGTGTAACCAAATCTTTTTTAATTGTCAAAGATCTATTTTTATACTTTAATTACTTCGTAAAGTGTATATATTTAACATCTGATGTCATTTCTAAATATTGTAGGTTAATGGATGTCTTTCTTTCCTAAACTAACAGTAATGGTCAATTAGACCATAAGGATTCTTCTAAAGTATGAGTAATGTAAGACATGGCCCCTTCGACAGGATGTAAAGTCAGAATAATGGCTATGTCATCTGAGCTTGCTGGACACATTAACCTGCAACAGAACAGATTCCAGCTGGGGCTGATGACCTCTAGTGGTTCTAAGTGCAGTTTGACTTAGCATCTGCTTTGCCAGTATTTTTCAGTATCGAGTTTTCCCAGTCAGTGAACTTTAAACTAACCCTGGTTGTGCTAATGAACTTGATGGCACACAGGCTGTCGAGGACCATGGCTTCACTGGGTCAGGGTCGCTTTCATAGATTCCACAGTAAAACGACTCAAGGTATTCTTCCTTTCTCTCTTCCACTTCATTTTCAAATTTAATTTTCTTCCTCCTAAGGGGATCATACTCTATTTAGATAAAACTTGAATGAACATGGGACTGTTTAGTACTCTTGTCTAGGAATGAGTCGCCATGACTCTTTTAAAAAGAAAAAAGAAAGAAAAAGTTTTTCCTTAACTCCCTTGCCAGCTTTCTTCGAGGTCACATTGCTGGCAGCATCAACATCCCCTTCAACGCAGCCTTCACAGCAGAGGGAGAGCTCAGCCAGGGCCCTTATACCACGATGCTTCAGAGCTTCAAGGGGAAGGTCATTGTGATCGTTGGGCACGTGGCAAAGCACACAGCTGAGGTAAGTGTACTCAGAGATGTCCTGAATGGTCCCTGCCTACTGTGCAGGCTGTCGAAAATGTTTCTTCAGTCGTTGAGAAATCCAGCTGCTGGGATCTGGCAGTATTCTTACCTAGACGGTCTTGTGTCTTATGGAAGCTTTTTACCCCCTACCCACACACACACACTCCCCGACCTCCAGTTTTCAGCAGCAGGATGAGTAGTCGCAGGCTTAGGCAAACCCCAATGGTAGCTGCTGGTGGTGTTCCTCAAAGTCTGTGTGTTAGGGCTTAGGGATGAGACTGAAAGGTGGGACCTTTACAAGTGGGTCCTAGTAGAAAATCCTGGGGTGAGTGGAGGCTCACCTCTGTAAAGGACTGTGGGACCTAGTCACTGACTTCCGAAAACAAAATGCTCTCTTTCTCCACCTACAGACCTGCCATCCACAATGGGCACTGACTGTAAGCCTTTGGGCTTTCCTTTGCAAGTATGAGCTAATTAAGCCCCTTTCCTTATAAAGTTAGCTGCCTCTATTATTTTGTTATAATGAAATATAAATTAGTATGACAGCATAGGTTTACAGGGCATTTATTTTTTTCTAGCTGCTTTTTGAAATTTCAAATACACAGACTGAACTTTCCCTGTCAGAGCATCAGGGCCAGGCACAGGCTCTGAAACTGCCCTGGTAGCACCTCCTGGACTTGGGATATTTGTTTACATAGAAACTCAAGGATCAGATATCAGTGTCAGATTATGAAACAAGAAGTTGGACTCCCTTTCCAAATCGAAAGAGGGAGGAACTAATTGCATTCTAAGCAAATTGAAAAATAAATAGTAGGTGTGATGGCCACAATTACAACCAAGAAAGAAACAAAGAAAAAGAAAAAAGAGAGGGGTGGGGGCAGCCTGGTATGGTAGCACACACCTTTAATCCCAATACTTAAGAGGTAGAGGCAGGTGGATCTCTTTGAGTTCAAGGCCAGCCTGGTCTACATAGCAAGTGCCAGGCAAAATGTCAGAAACTATAGCATATGAGAGCCTAGCAGGGTAACAAACGACATCCCATAGTCAGCAGAGAACATAACTGTGTGGAGCTGATGCAGACCCCAGTACCGTCCAAGCCCATTCCCTAATGTGGGAAAGAATCTTTTCTAGGAAAGGATCAGATACTAACTCCTCAGGAGAAGACAGGCTGAGCTTTCCCAGATTTACCAAAGGAATCCCATGGTGCTAGAACAGAGTGAAAAAGGGGACCAAGGGAGAGTCAGCAGTGTATTGGGAAATTTTCCTCACTGAGAAAATTAGGAATGGAGGTGAAATTATTCCCATTCAATTTCCTTTACATCTCTATAAAAGGAACAAACCATACATATGGTATTAAAAATTGTCTTTTTTTTTAAGTATCCAAAACTTGGTGGGCAAAATGGCTCAGTAGGTAAAGGCACTTTCACCAAGTCTGACAAGCTGAGTGCAATCTCTAAGACCCAACACGGTGGGAAGAGGAAAATAATTTCTACAGTTGCTCTTTGACTTCATGTGTATATTTATGCCTTCACAAACAAATATTTAAAATATTTTAAAATCGTTTTAGAAGTACAAGGTGAAGGATACTATATACTTGACATTAAATGAAGGCCAGGCTTGACTTTACATCCTCACTAATTATGCTGAAGATTATATCATAAATTACACCTTTTCATATAAGTTGTAGCATGTAACAGAATATGTGAATGCACCCTTTTCAAGAAAGCTATCATAGTAAGTAGGGGGTCACTTTAATTCATAATATCAAGTCAGGACAATATATATAATTACAGCCTTGGTAGCTTATTATCTTGATGTAAGATGTCATTTGTGACTGCTGCTCCGTTAGTCTGTAGTGCCATACCATCCCATACATCCGCACCACTATTGAGAAGCACGTATCTCTAGGCCCCAGGTCACACAGAGCCTCAGGAAGGAATCCCAGCAGTAATAGTAATCCAAATTATGGACCAGTCTTTGTATGAGAGGTACTGTGGCAAGTACATGTGTTGTCTCATTTTGTTCTTCATGACTGTTCTGTAACGGAGTAGTATAGAGTTAACTATCTAAATTCTGTCATCCTGGCAGAATCTAGATTCATCTGAAAGACTGACTTCTACACATGACCGTGGGAATTATCTTGTCTGCATTGAGGTGGGAAGGCCCAGGTGCCACTTCTGGGTTATGTGAGTGGACGCAGGACACAGAGCATCCTGCATACACTGCTGTCTGTGTCCTGGTTGCAGACACAACATGGTTAGCTGTTTCCAGCTCCTGCCACTGTGATGTGATAGATGATAAACTCTTGCACTGTGCGCCAAAATACATACTTTTCTTCCTTTGTTGCTTTTGTCAGGTTTGTTTTTTGTTTTTGTTTTTTTTTTTTTAAATCATAGCAACAGGAAAAGTAGCTAAAACAAGGGAGAAACATTCTTCCCATTTCAAACATGAGAAAAACTTGAATTCGGTGCCTGCCCACAGCCCCAATCAGAATGTAAGTCTGTATTGCTTTGTAAGTGCTGAGCTCATGAGGCTTGTGAGTGCGAATGCTGCCATTGTCCAGGCTTTTAAAACAAGCTTATTCTGACTTCACACACAACACAGTAGTTCATCCTGGTGCATGAAACCAAAACCTAAAATAAACTTTACCAGATTATGATTCTATTTTCATAAAACCTTCACCACTTCAAAGAAAGTTTCTAATAAGTAGAACTTGTAGGTTTAAAACTGTTTAAACTGCCAACTGCTTCCAAACACCATAATCATATTAAGCTATGTCATTTATCTAATTTTGCCATACAGGTAAAACAAATCTGTCAATACATAGATGATTTCATTCATTAAGCCATCAGTTTAAAAGACTGTTATGTACAAGCCAATAAATGTAAGTTCAAAATATGAAGGAAATATTGAATGAATACTTACATTCAATAGGATTTGTAACAGTAATGAACCATCCAAGTACTATCAGTTTCTTTTTACATTCTTCTTGCCAACTCATTTAGAGACAGTAATGATTAAACAACTCATACACAGCTGCAAATGCTTCAATCCAGTAGCAGTGGCTCATTTGTGATAGTTTTAAATTGGGATAAAGATCTATCTTTAATAATGTTTCTCATCAAAAGTCAAAAACAACTTCAAATACTTATTTGTACTGTTTCATACTTTCCTCTGCTGCCCAGATCTGTACAGCAGTACAGGTGCTTCCCTCATGCCCACTGAATTAAATGCATGTCAGTTTGTGGCATTGCAATTCCACCGTGTGTCTGCCTTTGTGCTGAATATCTTCTCCTCACTCCACTGCCCATTGCAGATCAATTCTCAACCCCTCTTCACACTTCATTCCATCCCACAAAGGAAAATGCCTGTGAGTTCTAAATCCTAGTTGTTCATCCAGTGAGAAGCTCTGATAAATTATGAGTTGGAAAGGAAACAGGATATTTGTCTTCCTGGATCTTTCTCAAAAATGATCTCAGGTTGGCCGCGTCATTCTATGGAAAATAACAATTCTCTCCTGGAAGACTTCTCACTACCATTGTGACATGAGCCCTTGGTTCCTTTGTCTCCAGGAGTGGTAATAAATCTGCTTTTGCTAGCCTTGGTTAGCATTCCCCATTATAGTTCTAGATACCCCTACTCCTCTGTAATTATCACCTCAGTTTATGCTAAGTTCCTGTTAGGACCCCAGCTGTCATAGATAGTATTTTAAAATAAGTGAATTCCGTAAGCCTTCCTGCTATGCTGGGTTTCTTACTACCTACATTTTTGTTTGTTGGTTGGTCGGTTGGTCATGGGGTGCTGTATTTTAGACTCTAAACATTTTCTTTTCTTTTTATTGTTATTATTATTTACAGTTTATTCACTTTGGTTGGTTGTAGCCCCCTTCCTCATCTCTTCCCAGTCCCACACTCCCTCCTTCTTCCTCCTCTATCCCTCTCCCTTAGTCTACTGATAGGGGAGGTCCTCCTCCCCTACTGTCTCACCCTAGCCTGTCAAGTCCCATCAGGACTACGTGCATCCTCTTCCTCTGTGGGCTGATGAGGGCACCCCACCAGGGAGATGTGATCAAGCAGCAGGCAACTGAATTCATATCAGAGACTGTCTCTTCTCCCCTTACTAGGGAACCCACATGGAGACTGAGCTTTCTATGGGCTACATCTGAGCAGGGGGTCAAGGTCCTCTCTCTGTTTTACCTTTGGTTGATGCATCAAGTCTCTGTGGCACACCCTGGGCCCAGCTTTTTTGACTTTGTAGGTCTCCTTGTGGGGCTCCTGTCCCCTTTGGGTTCTTCTATCTCCCGCCTCTTCCATAAGACTCACTGCACTTTGTCCAGAGTTTGGCTGTGAGTCTTTGTATCTGCTTTGATCCCCTGCTGGGTAGAGTCTTTTAGAGGTCATCAGTGGCTCCCATCCTGTTCCCTCTCTTCTACCACTTCTGGTGTCTCCTGTTTTCCTTTCTAAATGAGAATTTATCATCTTCCCTAGGGTCCTCTGTGTTGTTTAGCTTCTTTAGGTCTATAGATTTTAGTATGTTTATCCTATATTATAGTCTAATATCCACTTATAGGTGAGTATATACCATGCATGTTTTTCTGATTCTGGGTTACCTCATTCAAGATGATCTTTTCTAGTTTCATCCATTTGCTTGCAAATTTCATGATCTTTGTTTTTAATTGCCGAGTAGTATTCCATGTGTAAATGTACCACAATTTCTGTGTCCATTCTTCGATTGAGGGGCATCTAGGATGTTTCTGGATTCTGGCTACTATGAATAAAGCTGCTATGAACATAGTCGAGCAAATGTCCTTGTTGTATGGTTGAGCATGTTTTTGATAAGTGGCCAGGAATAGTATAGATGGGTCTGGATATAGCACTATTCCCATTTATCTAAGAAAGCACCAGATTAATTTCCAAACTGGTTGTACAAATTTACATTCCTACCAGCAATGGAGGAGGGTTCTCCTTTCTCCATATCCTTTCCAGCACATGTTGTCAC